ACAATTGTTCAATTTAATTAGACTATTGTAAAGATATTTTGTCATATAATACTATATACTTTAATTCTAAATGTGGTTGTAAATATTAAATGTCAAATGTGTAATAAAAATATAAATTGGAAACTTATAATAAAATTATAAATTTAATTTTTACAAATTATAAAAATTCAAGTCTACATCAATTGAAATTTAGGTCTACATGCATAAGGAAATAAATTATTGAATAAAACAATTTTTTGTAAAATAAGTTTCTTATTTTTATGCATAAGATGTATTTTTAATTTGTTATCCTATATAATACATTTTAAACAAGAATAAGTTGGTATTCATATATTTAATATCCATGGGGTAATGAATTTTAGAATAAAGTACATTGTTTATTTTTAAAAGGAAGATGAAACTTTAAATCCCTCAAATGTGCTTACTTATTAATTTATTTTCTCAAATTTAATTTTTATCAATTTAATTTCTTATATTTTCTTAAATTGTTACCTTTATATTTAGGTTTTGAAACAAAAATTGACCATTAAATTTATTTTACTTATAAAGTATGCTAATAACCTAACTTTTACACATGATTAAACGAGAACAAATTTGCCTTCAAGTCAATTTTATTTTATCATTAATTTATGTGACTATTAATTCAATATTTTTCATCTATATTAGCAAATTTTAAGGGTATGTTATATCTTCTTCAAATAATGAACTTGAAGGACTGCATGATTATTGGGGCAAACTTAAAAATATTAATTTGTTATTGAAGAAAATTTTATCATCCCTTTTTAAATATATATTATAAAATGTATATTGAATGATAGTATTTAATATATTTTTTTATTTGTGTACATTATAATTTAATTTTTAAAATTTAAATTTTAATAAAAAATGTAAGGGGTAAAAAATTTTGTTTATAAAATTTTGTTTATTTTTCTAATATATACAAAATAAGTTGATGAAAAGGCAAAAAATTCTATAATAAAAAATTGTATGAATGAAAAATTATTTTTGAAAGATCTATTTTAAATTGTGATGAACAATATTCAAATTTGATTTAGTTAGATAATCATATAAAAATGTGTTATTTGCATTTTTTTATATGTATAAGTCTAAGAAATTCTTAAATAAAATAAATGGTTATTTATATTTACAAGTAATAAATTTTTAACTAGAATATGTTTTTTAAATTTAAATTTATGTGGAGATCACATAAAAAAATGTTTATATTTTTTTATATATGCATGATATCATATTTTAAAATAATTTGTGTAAGAATAAAATAAATTGTTATCTTTTTTTTTTTGCTAATAAGTATTCTCTCATTGAAAGTAATTATATTTGAAACACAATCGAGCATTAAATGTGGGCACATCTCCCAATAAAAATAATTTTTTTCTTATTTTGTCATATATAGCCAATACTAAAATAAAATAAGATGTTCATAGAATTTAAAATAAAAATATTCTAAAACAAGGTATATGTTTTAAAAAATTTTTTTGATTATATGTTTTATAATTTTAATTTACATGAATATAAAAATTCATAGATCAAAATAAATTATTGTCTATATTTGATTATATATGGGATAACAAATTTTATGAAAAAATTATTTTTTATTTCTATTTTTAAATCACAATAAACATTATCATATACTCTTTCATATCCTAAATATAAGGTCTTGTTAATTGATTGGCAGAAATCAAGGAGAGTGGGAAAATTGGTTATTTGTAATTAATATATAGAGAATTTGTGACATTTTATTAAAAATTTTATTATTAAAATTTATTGTGTAAAAATAAAAATGTCCCAATAAATAAGAATATTATGAGAATAAACAAATTATTAAATTAGACAAAGAGGAAACAAAATCTTATATTTAGGATCCGATATTAAAGCAAAAACCTTTGCAAGTGGGAGGGGGGACTGCACTTCTGTCCTCTATTTTGGTGCTAAAGTGATAAGACATGATGAAGAGAACAAACTTTCCATGAAGGAAAAGCGCCAACATCTTATCTTAATTAATTTAAAGATCGGATTATATGACTTAATTGCTTATATTATTATAGACAAATTAACTCATTAGCTAAAAAAAATCTTGTACCAAAAAATATGGACCAAATCTTTAAAAATTTAAAAAAAAAACTGGTTCACATTGATATATTAAAGGTTTATTATTAATATATAAAGGATTTATTATTAAAAATTTACAAATTTATAAAAGGTTCATTATTGATATATAATATATATATCATTGACAATATAATAAACTGGTTATAATATAAAATATATAAATCTTATGCTATTTATTTGATTTAGTTTTATAATATGAGTTATATATAAAAAAAAACCCTTATTATTATTTTCTTTATCATATTATCTTGTCACCTTCACACGATGTGCTCTAATGACTGTACATTTTATAGACTTTGAGCCACCTTTTCTCTCTGCCTAAAGTTCTGCACGATGCATATGCACTTTATTTATCAAGGATTTTTTCTAAAAAAAATAATGCGATGACTATTGACTAGTATATTTTTTATTTGTGAAGAGGTTTTTTAGCTACACTATGAAAAGAATCATTTTGTCATCGTGAAAGTTTCTGACTTTAAACAAAATGAAGAGTTTCTTGGAAAAATTAATTCTCAATGAAAATATTTGAAAGGGGTTTTGGAATTTTCTGATGAGGAACGCACAGGTGGAGAATGGAGATGGATTTGTCACACTTAATAAAAGCTCCACTGACTCCTTGTAAAAGATGCTCAAATGTACAATTTCACGTGATAATATAATATTACACTCAAAAGTATTTTTAAGAAAATGACAGTTATGTTCAAATCAATAAATTAATACAGATCAAAAGAAATTTTAAAAAACAACAGTGCAAATAATGATTCATACAATTGTAACTTATGAACAATGTTTTAGAAGCTGGATTGGATATTAAATTAAAAAAAATTAACGATTCTCAATTTTTATGGTCTAATTTGTTAGAGATTAGTTGTTAAAACAGTGATGTAATAATTAAATAAAAATAATATTAAATATATATAAAATAAATATAAGAAATAAATCTATAGTATATTAATAAAATGACATAACATAATCATAAATTATAAATTTATAACATGTTAAATATAGACAAATTTTGATTAAATTAAATATGAGTAGACAAAAAAATGTTAGTATTCGCACCTGTAACTGTCAATATTTTTATAAAAAATATTTTTAAATTATATTTTATATATGTTAGTTATCCAAAAATAAAGTTAGCTTTTAGTAGGAATTTAATTTTTAAATTTTTCTAATTTTTTTAATTTTTAAGCTTTTTTTAATATTTTATTTAAAACTGTTTGGTTTTCTGAAATCATCTCCAATTCCCTATTCAATTTCAATTTATAGCTTAATAGTGGCTCAACTTTTATCCAATTTGGCTTAATTATCAAAATGATTTTTTGGTCCAAAGCAAGCCATTAACGACTCCAATCGACAATTCAACTAATTCAATTGTCTGGTTTGATCCCTTTTTTTAAACATTGCTTACAAGTTATATTTGAAAAATGTCTTATTTTCAAATTGCAATTATGATTATTGAATTTAGAATTGATTAAATTGATATTTATAATTTAATTTTAAAGATTTATAAAAAAACCTAAATTATCATTAATTTAATCATCACATACTTAACTGTCATTTTCTTTTAGGAGTGAGTCAAAATGCTAACCCGTGTGAATTGGGTTATTGTCCATCAAATAAACAAATTTTAAAGTTCTACTTTCACTTTTCCCCTCCCAATTACAACGTCCCAATACAGCATAATTTGTATTTGTCTTGTGCTTCGTAAATGCTAATTCTGATCTAAAAAAATGTGAAAGCCATTGACATGATAAATTAAAATTATTAATAAAATTAATATTTAAAAAATAAAAAGGAATTTCAAATGTCATGCACAATAAGGAGTTAATTGCCCAAAACACTAATAGTGCGTAATTTCTCATTCCCACTATGTTTAATTGGGTATCGGTGGTTGGGGTGGCCCTTGGCCTCTAAAATTATTGATTGCTCACAGTTTATTTTTATTTAGAGACAATTTTATTTAAAATAAGATTGAATATTAAATATAAATATTTTTTTAACAGAAATTCAAACCTTAATTCCCTGAGTAATTTTGCTCTTATGAATTAATTGCATTTATAACCTATAATTGAAAGCCCATGGGCTTATGGATAAATTCATAAGTTATAGCCTACCACAAAACCTTTGTTGGGGCAGACTCTACAAATAAATTATTAACAATTTTTTCTCTAATGACGTAATTGAAGGCCCATGGGCTTATGGATATATTCAAACCGAACACCACAAAGTATTATTCCTTAGCCCAAAGCCTCACCACTAGCACGAGAACACGTATAAACCCACCAGGCCTAATTGAATCTTATTGGGCCAATAAATATAGGGTCAAATTGGTTATTTTTTTTTTATTTTTATCTAATTAAATATATACAAATAAAAGTATCTTCCTTCACTGCCGCATCATAAACATCATATATATGTGATGGTTATTTTTTTATATATATAACTGTTATGAACTATAAATCATAACGCTTCCTTTATATATGACAGTTATATATATAGAATATCACAGTTAAAAAACCAATCTTCATATAAAACAACTCTCGTGTTGGCAATTCTGGATTTGCGTAAGCAAATACGACGGTTTTGGTTTATGAACACAAATCCTGTCTTGGAATCATAGAACCTTTTTTTCTCTTTTGTTTAATTAATAACAATTGTTTTGAACATAATAAATCTTATATTGACAACATATAACATTGTCCACACTTGTCCACATGATTTTAGAACATTCTAGATCCTAGAATATTATGGAGCATTCTTTCTTCACAAGTCATGATTTTAGAACACAAACACACAAACACTGTCTTACACAATATCACAACACACAATATACTTTTGGTAACTTACACGTATAGAAATCTACATAGTGATCATTTTCTCATAAATTTCAGTACAATAGGACTCCTGACTTTGTGCATGCCATCTGTCCACGTCACCTTTCCAAATGAATAATCAGCTTCTAATTTGTGAGCTGAATATTCCTCTGCCTGCGGGATTATCTCATAGCTCTCGTTCTCATTCGTCCTCTGAAAACTCAAAGTATCAGGCTGAACAAGAACCCTAACTCCTCTTGGTTCTTTGACATTTACAAAATACGTGCTTGGAGCTCCAACGTTTGAAACTGTACGAGAAACACTCAGGTTCCACACCCAGAAATGGCAGAGTGATGGAAGGGTAGTTGAAATCTTGTAGCCTGTATAACTTTGGACACTTGTATGGCCTGTTATAATTAAGTGATACAACTATTCTTTCCTCGAAATCAGAAGCACATAACAAGTTTAGGTAATCAGGAGCGTCCAGATCATAAACAAGTCCAGGGTATATTGCACGGTTAGGCTTAACATATCCTGAACCATAATGTAATGGAGTAGCTACTTGATCATCGTTTTCGTCCAGATTTGGTCCGTTGGTGTCATCCCAAGTGGTTGCTGGATTATATAACCATATAGTTCAATGTCTATAATAGCTCTTAGGAGTTATATATATAGAGAAACTTATTTACGAGTCCCTAATAAGGGATTTACTTACAAGTAAATCCTGTAAATTTGTTAAAATACTTTCAAGTTCCTTGAGATTTAGTTATAATTAAATTTGTTTGTAAAATATCACATATGCCCTTGCATTTGACTAGCATTGATCAGATCAGTCAAAATTTTTTCCTTAAAAATATATTTTATTAAAATATTAATGCCTTAATATTTAATAATCAAACATGGCAAATTTACAAGTAATTATTAATTATAAGTAAATATTAATTGTAAGGGATTGATTACTTGTAAATCTACCATGTTTAACTTGTAAATATTAAGATACTAATATTTTAATAATTTTTTTGTTTTTGAAAAAATTGATCAGTCAATGGTTGCTTGGTAATCCGTTAACAACAGATGGCAACTGGTCAATGCTGGTCAACTTGGTTCAAAGGGTAAAATCTTAGGTTATTTGTGTCATTTTACTTGAAAAATTAATTACAACAAAATCTCAAGAAACTTGTGAGGATTTTTACATATTTGTAAGATTGAATTATAAATAAATCTCTTGAACTTATGTTTACTTTTCCCTAATTAATAAGGGAAGCAAAATATGAATATGACAATAGCTTGAGGTATGTTATATCTCATGCCAGCGGTCAGGATTGCTGATTTGATAGCAGCAGGAGTCCAATTAGGATGGCGATTTTTGAGGAGACCAGCAATGCCAGCAACATGTTACATGTGGGCATGCCATAGAAGTTCCTGACAGAATATTATAGTCAAATCGACGTCCTGATGAATAAGCCGCAATTATATTTTGACCAGGAGCTGCCACGTCAGGCTGCAATTATAAACAATTTCAAACAATCATGTTAATTATTATAAGCATGTACTAACTCGTGTAATTACGTGTGTGTATAACAACATGGTATTAAAAAAACAGATCTCATCACATTTTCTAAACACATGCAACAGACTCTGAAACTAATTGAAAGATCTAATTAAAATTAGATTCTATGAGGAGAGGATCTAGCATACATGAGATAAAACAAGTGGGAAACTACTAATTAAGTTTGCATACCAGAGTTGCTATGCTGCACTAAGCTAGTCAAACTAAGTCTTTTTCTCTGTACCCTTTTAGAGTTATGCAACTCATTGATTGATATGGAAAACATACAGTGCATGTGTAGGGGTTAAAGAGGGGGCCTACTTATTTAATGTTTAATTTATTATTGGGCCCATCCTCTACTAAGTTTCAGTAAAGATTAATGGCACACACCTTAGCTACTAAGTTCTAACTAGACTAAACAGATTATGCGTCTGACCTATCAACTAAATGATGAACATATAATGTAGTTGGGTAATATTTCAAGGACCACTAGCTAACCTATTTTAGCAAATAAAAGAAATAATTAATATCAACCCACACATAAGTTTCCAACATTTTTCGTTACCTCTTTATATATAAATTTGGATTTGGTGACTGTATTTAATATAAGCATTAAGTGTTTGTGTCATCTAAATCATTAAAATCTAAATTAATGATTTTAAATTCATATTCCATTTGAGATTAATGAATAAGTAAGTTTATTTGAATCGCTGATATGGATTTTAATCACTTAAATGATATAGTCACTCAGTATCTGCAGTCACCAAATCCAAATCCTTTCTTATATAAGTAATAACCAAACAATTATTCAACCAGTCATCATCTCCCATACGATTTTACCTCTGGCTCTTGATAATATTTCGTAGCAGAGAAAGCTTAAGCTCTTTCAAAATGTCATTGTTGACAGAAGTGATATCAAGGCGCTAGTTCTACTTGGCACATGACAGTACATTACAAGACTTTACTTATTTCCGTAGCAGAAAAACCTAAAAGACTAATCAGTTGTACGTATACTAGTTTGATTATATAAAAAAAAAGAAAAAAGAAAAAGAAAACTATAGTAGAACCAAGTGATAGGTATGGCACAAGCAATAACAAAGCAAGTGATGATAGATGCGAACACACACACACACACACACACAACCTTGAGAGTTGAGGGCAGAACCAAGCTGGGTTCCCTGGATGAGAATAAAGAAACTTTTGGAGCTGGCTTTACTGGCATAATACTTTTTGCGTTATCCAAGAATGCAAGTAGGTTCCTGCATGCAATATATGTAAAAATGGAGCGCCTGTCCTTGCAAACATATACATTTAAAGCTTAAAAGGCCTAGCATGTATTTATAATTAATAAATACTCATCGGAGCTATTTTCACTCTCATTCTGAGGATCACTATTAGGAACATTGGAAGTATCTAAAACTTGAGCATCAGCTGTAGCTGTGTTAAACTTTTTATGATTCTGCAGAATCATTTTCAATGCTCCTACACGTTTTGCTTCTTGACCTTTGTCCACAGGCCTCAGGCTCCTTCCTCTTTGGCACACCAATATGCGACCCTTTACTTTGTTAGAATCAAGTGTTCCACTTTTACACAGTTGACTGCAACAAGAACAACCAGAGTCGTATGTTATGTAATGGCATCGATTCTACGGATTAAGGATATAAACAATATCTGATGTATGTAAGGAGAAATGGAATATAAAGCGAGAGAGTAATATGTGGGAAGATTTTTGTTCTCACGCATCTTCAAATGTCGCATATGGAAGCTTGGGCATTTCCAGCAATGACCACGGGAATTAACTCTTGAGATGTTGAGTTTGTGGCAAGACTGGTCCCCTGAAGATCATCATCTCCAAAGTTACCAGATATTGTTCAAACATGTTACATAACTAAAAATATAATTTCGGGTCCTATTTATAAGATGGAGGGAAAAATATTTTTTTTTGTCCTATACAGTATATCATAGATTTTTTATGACAAATTTTTCCTCATTAAATGTTGGTGAAAGAAAATTTGTTATTACAGTACCTAAATTTAATAGGGATAAATTAAATTGAAATTTTATTTGAATCTTAGAAAAAGTGAATGAATTTTAAGACTTTATTTAATTATGGTAAAACATGTTCAAAGTAATTTATAAATAGGACTAGGAAGAATATTTATTAGGGACAACTAGATCTTTTGAGAAATTAATGACATGCAAGTCTCTCAAATTGAATTACAATAATCTGTCAAACTTTTGACACTTAACTACTTTGAGACGTATGTGTTATTAGAAAAAATTAATCATATGGTTTATATAATTTTGACTTAATTATAATTCTATCCCTACATTTTAACTCAATGCAACTTAGTTTCTAGAATTTGATTAAATTGTAATTCAATTCTTAAATTTTAACTTGATGTAACATAGTCCCTAGCTATAATTTCAATTATTTAAAATAATTGTCCCTATAGATTAGAAAATAAAATTATAAATACTAAAAGTTATTTCTTATTGCTTAGGAACTAATATTTTAAATAGCTAAAATTATAAGTATAAAGTTATATCAAGTCAAAATTTAGATACTGAATTATATTTAATTCAAACTATTACACTGAGTTAAAGTTCAAGGTTAAGTTGCAAATGAGTCAAAATTATAGAGATGAAATGATCAATTTTTCATTTTTTACAAAAATAATAGATTTATATATGTGAAAAGTAATTCTATGAGCTTGTTTGTTTCAGCTTATTTTACGAAAAAAATCACTTACTTTTGAAAAAAAAATGTATTTTATGATTTTTTATGATATTTGTTTAAAATTTTAAAAATAATCAAAATTTTAAAAAATCATATTTCTGATTATTTTAAGAAATTACTTTGAGTAGCTTTTGAAAATAATCTCATGCAATAAATGAGAGAGAATGTTTTAAATAGACAAGATACGTAAATATATCATAAAATTTTAAAATAATTAAATAATGAATTATTTTTATAAAACAAAAAATTAAGAAAGATATCATAAAATTTAAAAATAACTAACTAATAATCACTTTTTATATTATTATAATTAAATATAAAAAAATGATATTTTTTATAAAATCTCTACAAAATATATCTTATTTATGTAAAATCTCTAAACTATTTAAAATCACTTATTTTTTTAATCTTAAATAAACTGACCCTATATATATACAGGGTGTAAAAAGTTAAGAGTTATATATACATACTCTCTCTGATCTTATTTATAATTCACTTCCAACATGTTTCACAGAAATCAAGAAAAATCTTAAATCTTATTGATGTTGCCTTAAAATTTAACAAGTTTGTACCTTTATTCCTAATAAATGTTCTTAAATCTCATTACTGATATTTTTATTCAAAACATTTAATAAAGGCAAAAATGTAAAGAGGAGCATTGGAAATTGACAATTATCCTATAAATAGGATTGATTTTTTTTTTCTTTCTCTACCTTATAAATAGGACTAAAGGAGTACTTATATCTGTTGGCCGTTACCAAGTATAATATTATTAGGAAAGCCCCTATACTTCCTTTGATCCTATTTATAAGGCAGAGATAGAAGCATTTTTTTAGTCCTATTTATGAGTTATGTCATTAAATTTTTATTATAAATTTTTTTTTTACCCTCCATTGAATGTTGGAGAGAGAAAATATGTTATTGAAATATATATATTTAATAGGAGTGAAGTTGAGAACTTATTAAATTTTAAAACAGAGATAGTGAGTTTTAAGGTTTTTCTTGATATTGGTGAAATGTATTGAAAGTAACTTACAAAATAAGACCAAAGCAGTATATGGAGCCAAAGCAACAGTGAAGATCCAAGGCGCCAACTTCGTCACCGTCTCAAGTTCAGGTCCGTCATTACCACCAGAGGTAACAAGTATGCCTCTTGAGACTGCAAGGAAGGACCCAATGGAGATCCCATTGGTAAACACGTGGGTGGCGTTTCGGACGGTGATCCGGCCGATGGAAACAGAGAGCAAGTCGACGCCGTCATCAATGGCTTGATCAAAAGCAGAAAGCAAGTCGACATCAGTAAAGTCTTCAGAATTATCACGAGTCCAGCAAGCTTTGTAAATTGGACGAGCTTTCAGGGATCCGCCCTTGCCGTGCCGTTGCTGTTGGTCAGAACACTTACGTCGAGATGGTGTGTGTTCCGTGCCCGTCGAAGTCGCGTGCACTGATTTGAGTAGACCTGCTACTTAGGTTTGTCTCGTAGCCTTTGTAGAAACTGTTGGCTCCGATTAGCTTCCTATTCAACGACGGAGCACATTTTAAAAAAAAAAAAAGAGGATAAATGATTTTTAAGTATCCTTTAAATATATTAATTATAATTAAGAACCTTAAGTTTTGAAAATTAAGAAAAAAGACCAAAATTTTTAGTTGTAAATTTTTTTCTGAGTTGATTTTGTCAATGCTCATTTTTTATATCTTCAATATTAAAAAAAGTTAAAAGATAAGTATTAATGAAAACATACATGATTAATATCAAAATCATTAAATAAGAATATTGGCAATTGAAAGCACATGAGAACTGAAATTGTCAAGCATGAGCATTAAAAAATTAAAGTTAAGTACTAAAAATATTAAATATGTTATGTATAATACGAGCACTAAAATATTTAACACCAAAAAAAAAACCTCGATTTCGATGAACTACCATGGTCTTTTTTAGAATGCCAAAATTTAGTCTTTACCTGTAGCTAATGTTCTTGTATGATGTTTAAATATGGTTTGCCCAAAAAAGATAAAATATAAAATTATTATCAGATCGTTTTGCCATCCCTTTAGAATAAAATATACAACAACATCTATAGATATTTAAGAGGAAGAATTATAGTTTAAATTAATTATAGTTAAATTTTCAATTAAAAATTTAAAAGATAAGTTACAAATATTTTTTAATAATTATAAATTCATGAATTTCAATTACAAATAAAATATTTAAATTTTAAATTAAATGTAACTCTCAGTTTACAATTAAAATTTTTATTTACAATTATTTGAATCCATCCTTTTTTTTAAATTACCGTTGTACCATATATTTCCTCTATTTGAAATTATTGTTCTTTAATTTCCAGCAGGTTCATCGATGATTGATTTTAGTTTTTCGTTTTTGTTCTAGCGTTCGTACGTACAGTTTTGCTATTTGAATGAATGATTCCAGTGACATTTCAAAAGATTATTGAAGAACGTGCATGTACTCCTTTTGTTTTTTAGTGAGAAAAGCATGCATGAAATAATTATTGGGACCAGACCTGCTGCAGAGTTAAATGACCCAGACAAACTGTAAAGTTCACATTTTGTTCCCCCACGCCGCTTCCGTGGAACAGGGCCGTATCCATCGTCTTGAAAGCCTCTCGATTCTGGCCAAACTCCCGTTTCAAAGAATTAATGATAGTTAAGTTTTCACAGCATTATGAGCGCTGGATTGGACCGGTAAGTTCAACTGATTAAATTAGCAACCGGTCCCAAGTTCAATCTGCTTATTGTTAAAAATCATCCAGTTAGAAAACTACTTGTAAGGATGGAAGTAGGTCAGGCTCTATTAAGGACTAACAGTTTGACTTACTTTAAGTTCAACTTAACTTATTTACTAAATAAGTTTATGTTAAGTTTAAATTTGATTAAATCTATTTAATTAAATAGGTCAATTCTTTTGTTTTTTTTATAAGGCATAACCTATAAGTTTAACATGCTGTCTTATTTACATATATATTATTATGTAATATATTATATACACATCAGTTTTTAATCAATCTATTGTTTTTTATTTTTATTTATATTTTTAATGAAATTAGACTTATTTATTGAATTTAATGTTGTTGCTTTATTGTTCTATTGCAATTAGTAAGTCATCTTAATTATTATACATTAGAATTGATAAATCATACTATAGAAACATACACTTTGAGACATTTAATACTAATATGTAATCCTATTTAAAATGCTTATTTTTAAATAGACTTTTATATAGGCTTCAAGGCAATGCTAGGTTTTAGGTAAGATCAAGCTGGAGAGCCTTGTACAGGGTTCAGGTTAGACTTGAGCCTCTAACCCACCACACATGTAAAATCTCATTATGCTAAATATAATTAACTAATAAAAACTCATGATAATCAAAGGATTAATCCCAAGAGTGATTACCAAGTTTTAGTTTAAATTTAAGAGATCTCAAGTTTTCTAAATCAAAAGGAGTTATAACAAATATAAACCCTCGTATCAAAGTAAAAACTAATTACAAAAGTATGAGATATTTCAGAGAAGTGAAAGAATTTAAAAATGATTGAAAAACAAAACATGTGCTGTAATGCAGGGCAATGTGCCGCGACTCAGGTGCCATGTGCCACGGCGTGTTGCACGAAAATTTAATAGATTTTGCTGTCATTTGACGGTAGAATTGGGGAACTTTTGACAAGCCTTGATTCTCAGTCCGACGTTCGAATGATGTGATCTAGATGTCTACGGAAAGCTCTTAATATGAACTAGCTAATGGCACGGGTTTCACTTTCAAAACAAGTCACACCAAGAAGTTGGACACCCAAACACTTTTTAACCACTTTTCACAACTTTCACACAAAATGGATGTCCAAAACCTTCAACAAGTGCCAAAACCCTTTCCTAACACCTGAACCATGTCCATTAAACTCAAAACTACCAGTATAACACATCACACGCACTTAAACCACAGTATAACATAAATTCACTCCTTAACATCTTTTTACCAAAAACAGAGGGGAAGGCAAATTCTCATTACATTGTCCCCAAATCAATCAAAATATATTCAAATCATCATTTTTATACTTGCACTAGTATTTTGGCCTTATAAACATATATATCTCAACATATACAAATACTTAAGGCCTAAAATATAAATTAAACATCCATATCAACAAAATAGTACAAGTGTGATAGCATGCAATCTAGAATTAGAAAATATATACTATTACCAAAATAAAACTAAGCTAGACACATACAAAAAGGAATATACTAATTTCCAGCCTCTTGAGCCTTCTCCTTATCTGCACCAAAGTTAGAGCCTGAAAAGTGTTAAATGAAAAGGGTGAGTTGAGCCACTCGGTAACCAAGGTAAAGCCTATCCTATACAGTTATATATCAATTATAAACCAAGCACATGTATATGAAATCAAAAACTTAAAACATGTTCACACACATATCATAACTCAACCATTCTCATTAACAACATCTTTGTCTCACATATACTAGGTACATTGTCACCATATTCTCAAATAAGTGACCATGACCCCTTATTCACGTGACTTGCCGCAACTCAACATGTATGACACGTCATATACTTATATAGGCAATGATCAACTAACCTTGTACCCTCCTTATTTTCTCAGACTGAAATCGTAGGCTATAACACTGATTAGGGCTCCGTTCGTGTGATTGGACTACTTAAGCTCATCAATTATGAGGTGTAACTTGGCTAAAGATCACATGTCTCACTCTCAGACCATAGTTTCTCCCATTCTTGAATCTTTGAGGTGTCTCATACCCTAGGATATTCTCCTCATTGAACTGGTAGAGATAGCTAGGTTTTAGTCCCTCAGCAAACTATGGGATAGCCCCTTGATAAACTGTGGGACAAGGTTATACCCCTATGCACTGAAGGGCAACCTTAATACCATATGAATTTTTCTCTACTCCCAATCCTTAAGTGAACTCTCGCCCACTGATCATGTCATAGTCAATACTTACTCTTTTCACTTTTTTCTTTACTCATTATCAAAATTAACATATTGGGCTCATGAACAAGTGCTACTCAAGTGCACATCAATTTATTATTTTTTACTTATATCACACACCCATATTTTTTCAATCACAATTGCTCATTTTTATCTAATCAATCACTCACTACTCATTTACAACACTTTATCACATTCATTTTTTTTCCAAAGACATATGCATGTTCATAGTTTAAAAACATCTTGATTTGACATTTGCATTTCAAACCATAAATAACATTATGCACATTCAGTTTTCATACACTCATTAAAACTAACACATGCTTTCATATTGAAAATCAACCCATACATGCAACATTCACATTTAAAAGTCAATTTACAATCAATTAACATATAATTACACAAAGTAGGGTTCCTTCGGTTACCTCAAACTTTTAAGAGATCAAAAGTTTACCCCTCAATGTATTAGCTTCTAAGCTTGAATTCCCAAGCCAAAAAGGTGATCAAGAGCTAAAACTACAATCAACCAAGTTAAATTTCATTAACATTACTAACTCAAATATTAAACCCTAATTTCTCTACCTTTAAATTACCAAATGTCCACTCTACATGATTTTGAGCCTATTCATTGGATTTATTATCTATCTTTAGTCCCAAATAACATTAATGAGCTATTAAACTCTCATTAATGGCATCACACTCTTCCAACCACCCATATTAAATGCAAATTTTGGATATTAATGGTGCCTAACAACTCAAGCCACCAAAGTTCATTATACCTCAGTTTAGATACTCTAATCTATTCCCATTAACTTCATTTAGGTCAATAAATTCAAACCTATAATCTATATGGACAAAAAATTATCTTCCATTATCAAACCCTAACTATAAACTCATAAATGTGAAAGAAATAGGGAGATTAATGAGTGTGGTACTTATCTTAGGTGTTTGTAGCCTTTAAAATACTCTCAATATCATCCAATAGCAAACCCTAGCAGAGCTTGGTGCACCTTTTCTATTTTCTCTTTTCTTTCTCTCTATTTTTGTCTCATTTTCGCGACTGATATCTGTAAAAAATGACCATGCACCACGGTGCATGGCATAGAGAGGTCTTCCCTTGCATCTGAAGTGTATGTGCACCATGATGAATGATCTCTATGCCGTGGTGTGTGGCACAACAACATCACTCTTCATTTTTCTTCTCCTTTTGATGCTTGGGTGGCCCAACTTGATACTGAACCCACAATTTGGGTTGAAATACAATCAAATATACTTATTAGACCTCCCTGATCACAAACCACCTCAACTTACTTAATTACTCTAATTAACTTTAATTAATTTGGGGATTAAAAATTAGAATGTTACAACACAAACTCAAGCCTATTTGGTCAAAATCTAACTTAGCCTAGCTTATTGTTGGTTATTGTAAGTAAATGGGTCATAGCAAATAATATAATGAAAGTAAAGTATTATTCTCTTGAGAATTTGTTCAAAAATAATGATCAAACAAAAGACTAAGTGAGTATAATTGAGTTGAGCCAAATATAGTTTGGTGAAAATAATTTTTGCAAACTAAAACACTAGAAAATAAAAAAAAGTAATTGATTCACAAACTTCAAATATAAATTGGGACCTAGGATTATTTATCTTCCTTGTATTTCATAACACCAAAATTATCTCCTCTCATAAATGCTTTTAATGAAAATAAGTACTAACCTAGGATTCTAAAAATACTTGGACAATCTCTTTCAAGTCATGAACAAGTATTTAGTTAAATTAATCGCTCAATCCTTGTTACAATTAATAAAACTCAATTTTAAATGCCAACCCTAATATGGCTATGCAAGGCTAGCAAGTATATCTCTATCTTACTAGCAAAACCATTCATTCAACATGCAAATATTAAGATCTTACACTATTTTACTTAAGTTCTACACTCAACTTAGCCCTCTCAAGTATCAATCCTAACATCTAAATGGTGGCCAATCACTTAGAATCATTAAGAAAGGAGTAAAATAAACACATATATATCATTAATCACAACAAGAGAGGAGGAACATAGTATTAATCCATACAAGAATTCTAAATAATCCTATAGAACAAAGAGTTTAGCTACTCATACACATCAAAAAGCTACAAATACACAAGATATTCATAGCCATTACAAGATTAGGAGAAGAGAAATGGAGAAGAAACAAAGAAACTGAAGAAATAGAGCTTCAAATCTCTTCAAAGCTTTAACTCTTGGATCCAACTCATTCAAAACTCAAACCCTAGCATAACAAAGCTCTTAAAGTATCTTCAAGTGTGTAGAATGACTTTTGGTTAAGTTCTCTGAATATATGTGTCATACCTAACCAATTTCAGACTTAATAAAATGCAGCGTTTTCTGACAGTGGTGAAAGTTGCGAACGAAAGTCACGACTTTGGGATGACTTTGGCAGTTTTACACAATTTTTGCAGCTAACAAAAATTATTCAATTTGTGCTTTTTTTTTCATCCCAAAATCCTTCCAAAAATATCCACAAAACTCCAGAAAAAGCTTCTAATTAAGTCTTCAATCAAAATAATACAAAATTAGGCCAAAAAATATCAAATCAAACCCAAGAAAACAAACCCAAAGCAACATGCACATT